GTTAATATTAAAAAGATACTTGAGTTTCTAATTGGTAATATCTATGTAGCTCTTCCAACAATCTGTCTGAATTCCCATGAGCACCAATTGCGCCCCCTTATTATTAGACATTTTTGTATTCACATGAAGCAGACTTTATTAGAAAAACATACATTAGAAGAAAAACATTTGCTCTGGCCTTCAGTTCAACATTAAGATATAGATTGTATCGACTATGTATTACTAATTAACAATTAAAGTTTCTATTTCAAACTCATTGAACTTGAATATATAGATACATCTTTTTCATATTTGGATATCTTACATGAAAAAAGATGTAAATGGTAATATAACAACAAACCTTTATGATAAACGTGTTGACCTCAATAGCCAACTTTTCTTATAAATGTAGCAATATCCCTTATTCACCTGGATATGGGATATATGTATTTCAATTGGTGCAATATGCAAGAACATGCTGTAAATATGAACAATTTTGACAATGATGCAAGGTATTTACAAACAAGTTAATGAAACAAGGATATCAACAGTCACTTTTAAAGTCAAAATTTCACAAGTTGAATGGTCGATACAATGACCATAGCAACAAGTACAATCTATCATTAAGTCAAATGCTGACTGATGTTTTTCTTGCCAATTGTTAGACCATAACATACATGTATTGATTTGTCTAACTTTTTTTCCCCTCTGTCCGATCCTGACAAGCAGCACAAGGCAAGTGTTGTAGACAGGGGTGCTTACTCCTCTGTGGTACCTGATCCCAACTCTGAATTTTAGATATTTTACTTGAAAAAACGGTAATCTAATAACCAAGCTCTATGATAAACGTGATGACTTTAACTTTTCAATCGCAGAGCTGCCAACCCTTACGATTTTGGCGTAAGGTGTACGAAATTAGCATCTAAAATACGCCTTACGATTTCTCTCTATATTCTTCCGATTTCAGTTTTTCTCGTTTAAAGTTTATAATACCGATATTTTCATAGCTGGCAGTCCATAGTTTCTACATTATAATATATTCATAATTCTTACAATGTTTGCTTGTATCATGGTTTCGGTTTTAGAAGGCCATTCACATTCATGTCAATGTTTTAAAGTAAACAAAATGGAAACAATCATGCCTCAGATTGCATGTTCATTTACAAAACATCTTCAGCGTCAGGGGGCTTAGGTGGTCCCTAGACCCCACCTTACTATTTGTCATTTCAGAATGTTGGTAGCTCTGCAATCGTCAACTTCCCTCACTTATGCAGCAATATACCTTAATCACCTGCATACGTGTTTATATCTCTCAGTTAATTCGATACGCAAAAGCGTGCTCTACAAGTGTACAATATCTAAAACGAGGTAAACCATTGACAAACAAGTTGATGAAACGAGAATATCAGCAGTCTTGTTTAAAGTCACCCATTCGTAAGTTCTATGGTCGATACAATGACCTTGTCAGCAAATACAATTCATGATTGAGTGAAATGCTGACTTTTGTTTTTCATACTAATTGTTAGGCTTTCTTTTACTCACTGAATTGACGACGGATTTTGCCGTTATTTCCCAAACATGACAACGGCGGGTGTGAACAGACAGGGGATACTTACTCTTCTATGGCACCTGATCCCACCTCTGATGTTTTAAGGCTCTGGTTTTGCCCTGCTCCCAATTTGTATAGTTTAAATGGACTTATTAAGAATTTGAAATTTAATACTGCATATCTCCATATATCATAATATGTATAATTATTCATTACTTTGTATTATAATTTGATTCTTGTATGCTGAAAATTTAAAAAGGGGATAACATAATCGTCTTATATCCTAAATTTGAGCTTTCTGACATGAACCTCATTCAAATCCTGTTTACAGGGCACTGATCTTCACATCACATAATAGTTTATGACTAGTTATAGCTTAATTTTAAATTTCCATATTCCTAGTTTCTTGTTTTGGTCAAACTATGACTTTGTAATATACTACTATACTTACTAGTAGTACTATACTAGTAGTAAGTGTATTGTTTGGTAACAAACGTAACCTAGTTGTGCAAAAAGAACATACCTGCATTATTCATTTGAAATTCTAATGTCTTGGTGTGTGAGATGAAATCTCTTTAATATGCAAATGGAATAGCAGTATAATTAATGAAATTTAAAATAAAGTACACACTTAAATGTGTAAAGAGTTTAAATTATGATTCATGAATCTGAGTCCTGATACATACCATTTCAGAGATTATATATTTTTAATGTTACACACTTAAATTTAATTATTTTAGTATAAGAGTTTAAATTATGTAGTTCATTTGTGAATCTGAGACCTGATACATGCCATGTTGGTAACAACCACAGAGATAAACTTACGCAGATCAGAGATTATATATTTTTAATGTTACTTAATAAACTTTTTATTTAATTTTAAATAGCTTTCTTTAAACCGCAAATTTAATTATTTTAGCAGTTATACACACAATGCTCTATAGCAAAGAGATCTCATTTATAATAAAAAAAAGTTGCTAGTTTTTTTTTATCAGTGTAAAATGGAAAACGGTTTTTGTAGTTAAAACAATCAAAATAGGATGTGTGCTAAACTGCGTTGTTTTCTTCCTGAAAAATACTTAATTCAGACAAGTTGCTGTGCATAATTTGGTAACAGCCACAGAAAGGCATACGCAGATCTTGGAACTTGTATTTGCTGACAAGGTCATGGAATTTCAATATTTAACTTGTTACCTTTATGATAAATTTTTTATACGTATTTGCAACTAGAATCAAAATCCGTGTGCAGTATAGACCATATAATTCATTTCATAAATATTGAAACTTAAAAAAAATATATCGTATCGACAAAAGAATTGAATTTACCATTGTTAATTGACAATTGTATATATCATCATTTTAAGTGTTTTCTTCTTTTCAGTTGATTTGCACAAATTCTGCTTCATTTGAATACAAAAATGCCTATATTTTAGATATTGTTGGTACAAAGAACATAACTCTTGTCAATCAGAATCATTGAATCATCTTGTGTGTACAATCAGAATGTTTTAACAAAATAATTTTGCAAATGGAGAGAGAAAAAAACCAATATACACAGTTTGTAAGTGGCTACATATTTTGGTAAAATCTTGTGATTTCAAATTGTCCAAAAGTTCCTTAAGATTCTTAAGTATCCACATCTGATTTACACCTATTCTTGAATACATTGTTGCACAGTTTCTCCTTCACTACTGTTAATATCTAAGTAAGAAACAAAGAAAGAAATTTGTTTGAACATTTACTGGAACCCGCAATGTATCTTTGTTTGCAAGGATTCTTATGTAGTTTTGGAATCCAATATATATATATAAAGTAGTTCAAATCATTTTGGTTCTTTGGGATATTAAAAATATTCAAAACTGACATATGATTTTTAAGAATTTCTTCCTTAGAAAGGGAACTATGAGTATAAGTTGGATTATCACATGCAGATTTAAATCCAAGTTCTTCTAGAATACAATTTATATAACGAGTCTTACAAACAAAGACAATGCTGTTACCTGCTTTGTCAGCAAGGACCAGTAAGACATAATTTAAAATTCATGTTTTTTAATTTTTTTTTTCTTTTTACGAATCGAACTACTAATGGGTATTATGGCTTGTATTTTATATTAAAATGCAAGTACAGTTTCTCTTCTTAATTTTCCAATCTCCATAAAAATCAATGTAAATTTTACATGTATCTCTGATCTTCATTTGACATAAATAATGATACTAGTATACGAGACTTATAACCCTATGGTACATGCTACTTATAATTTAGAGAGAGTGTCAAGGACAGAAAAGTATAGCGCAAAAAGTCTCCTACCACGCTGGAAAACGCAATTAATCTGATAATTTCAGTACAAGCCTCTATTTGTAAGTAGGGCAGATAACGTTCGTACCTTTTTTTTGGACAACACTGAGAGATAGTTTTTGAGTTTGCCATTTCCTGAGGCAAAGATCAAAGCTAGCTTTCTCTCTTACTGATTGGTTATGCGCTTAATTTTGTGAACTTGATTCTAAAGGATGTAAGTACACTCTGCTTGTGAATTACTCGGGACATCATATGGACCATCAACAATAAAACAGTTGGTGAAATGGCGGATCACAAATCTGAGGGGCAGCACAGTAAAGACGGGAGTACTTCTCACTCTGAAAGTATGAAGCATGTTCATCTAAAGTTCTTATGCATTAGCTGGTAGTAAAATCAAAAGATGCTTATTTGAATTTTGTCTGCAAGCTTGCCAGTCTGTCTGTCTGTATATAATGATACTTGTTTGTCGGTTCTTAATAGACAGTATACTAGAAGACATGACTAGTCATCTATTATACTCAAGTTATGCAGCATCATTTTTTTCAATCACTGCCCCCGAGATTAGATTGAGATCACAACAAGAGATCATGGGTTTAATGATTCTGTACTTGTGTGCCACCTAACGTTCACTGAGTATATATCTGTTAATTCCGTATGTTGAAGATTGTTCGTATTGCATTTACAACCGTGCTTCAAGCATCTACTGATGTTCATTCATCAAAGACTGCGTTTGTTTTGTAGTTATAATTATTTTTTTTTTCGTAAATATCTCTTGCGATTATTTTTTTCAGTTATATTTGTTGTCATTCGTTCAAAGGCCTATTTTATATTCTTCTCCTTTATAACAATTGACCACATAATAAAATGTATGTTATGCATATCGTCCGTGCCTTTAATCTCCTGTTGTGTCTCCACTTTATCTTGTTTAAATCAGCGTTTTCAACTATCTGACCTAGCTATAGTGACACAACTTGGGTAACCTTTACTGAAAGGTTCATAACATTCGATAATATGTCGTTCGTTACAGATGGACTGGAGGCCGCTACCAAAATTGTCACTCCTCCTTCTAACGAAAACGCAGAGTTAACGACCCTGGTAAACAATTTTTAATCATATATTTTTTAAAAATAGATATACATTGTACTAGTTTATGCATTTTTTATCACTAAAGACATCATGATCAACTGTATTTCTGGACAAGATCACGTGATTTACTCCTTGTCCTATTATGTTAATTGTTTGATCCTACTTACTACACAGATAGATGCCTCGCCCCCACAGGATGATCCCTGGGCCTTGCCTGAATTAAAAGATACAGGGACCCCCTGGAAAGGTCAGACTCTGCTGTACTAAGGGCCCAGTTTTGAATGGGAAGATTGAATCCGTGACCCGAAAATCAATGTCATCCATAGTACATTTTTTTAAGTAAAACCAAGACCCTATCCTTCCCAAGTTATACCAGTATTTGTAGTCTCCAAATATAATCTACATGGCAATAACAAGGTATGTATCCAAGGAAAAAACCAAGGAAGAGTGTATTTTATGTAAAATTACACGGTAACGCCTGGACAAAACATGTCTACAGCAAATTAGCATCCATTGCCTTTGAAATACAGTGAACATGCATCATGTTTTTCATCTCAGTGAAAAATAACTATACTCTCATTTAACAAACAAATAATTGCATTCTTAGGTTGCATTTATCTTAAGCAAGTACTAACAATTCATATCCGGAGCACAGGTATTTTATTCGTTTTGCCTGAAGATTGATTACCTTAAATTTTGAGAAAGGGCCATATGTCCAGACCTTAGCAGGCATTTGGGCCACTGGTGACAGCACAGTAAAGTTGAATTATTTGTTGCAAGGAGTTTAAATGTACAGCACTTTTCAATTACGATGTTGAATCTAGTCCATTTTGCATTTAAAGACTTGAGCAATAATTTTTTCATTTAAACTTTTTCATTCATTTCTTTTTTTAATATATTTACATGTAGGCCAACAATCACGTCTCATAGTTACATGTGTAAGCAATTTCGAATTCAGCCTTGATAATGCATCCAGACAATACTGGAGTTCCTTCGACCTGAAATTAAAACAGCGTGTACGGCTTATTTTTGGATGAGAGTTACAAAGTAATAACAATCTAGTAGAGAGGATTTTAACTTCTCTATGACATTGAGAAAGATCAATTCATGTATCATTTATACAATTTACAAATAAACATTATAATTACTCCTGTACCAAATCACAAAAAATTAGCATTTAATCACATTAAAAGACAGTGAACAATATATTTTTACAGACTTGGATACAAAAGGAAAGATTATCAGGACAATATGGACAGCTACCCGGACAGTCCTCATCTTCGTCTGTCTCTACTTCTTCATCTGTTCTCTAGATTTTTTGAGTTCCGCCTTCAGACTACTAGGAGGTAAGATTTCTTATAACTTTAGTGTCATTCTTTCAATAATAACGTCCAGGGCCAGTATTTTTCCTTTAAAAAAATAAATCATCAACGGTCAGCTTAATGCCGTTTTCATTTTTTAAAAGTTTGTCGTCTTTTCAAAGATGATATTTTGAATCATACCAAAATTCACAACGTTGTCACACAAAATTAAGCAGAACAAAAAAGAAAAGTCCTTGAAAACATTTTTTTTTCATTTTTATTTCATTTGCATGCTGGTAGTGAGTTGCGCCTTATACATATATGTAAGTTTTGCGGAATCATCTCTTCCGATGTTTGGTTTAAGGTAAAGCAGCCGGTAAAGTGTTCCAGAACAGTGAACTCATACAAAACCCAGTATGTGGTCTGATGATCGGAGTGCTGGTCACTGTGCTGGTCCAGAGCTCCTCCACAACCACGTCTATTGTAGTCAGTATGGTAGCAGCAGATAGTAAGTTCAACCATTTCTGATAGTTCTTAACCTACATTTGATCCACACTATAAAATAACATCCCCAAAAAAAACCCTGATGTTTTACCTACAGTCCTGACAGTGAAGTTGTCCATCCCGATCATAATGGGATCCAATATTGGAACTTCAGTGACGAACACCATCGTATCACTAGGGGAAATCACCCATCGTGACGACTTTAGGCGGGCTTTCGCTGGGGCCACAGTACATGACATGTTTAACTGGCTATCAGTCATTGTCTTGCTTCCACTGGAAATTGCCACAGGTGTGTAAAGTTGAACCTATATCCTCTGTTTTAATGTGCTCTTTCCATGATCTCTTCGAATAATACGCCAATGTATTCTCAGGTTACCTCTACTATGTATCTGGGGCCATTGTCGAAAGCTTGCAACTGGGAACGTACAAAGACGCAAACAAAGATCTTCTGAAGGCAGTGACGAAACCTTTTACGAAATTAATTATTCAAGTACGAAATTGAGATTCATTCATGCTTATTCTTTTGTCTCTCCTCTTCGTTCATAGTAGTGCTGTATAGTGAATGATTATATTTTAGATAGATTCCAGCAAGATCAGCATGATAGCTAAAGGAGAAAGAGATGAAGACGACTCCAGGCTGCTGAAGATCTGTTGTCAATCCAAAACATCCACCTTAACTAACGAGACTGGATACAATTATACACAAACCAACTGTGTTCAAAAATGTTAAGTACAAGAATTTTATACATTTCATAATATTATATAACTGTAAAACATCCCCGTTTTTCAATAAAAAATTCGGTGACATCAAATCAGATATTATTACTAGTATTTCATTGCAATAACAATAATGTCAGGTACTAGGTATAATAAAACATTTCTTAGAAAATTGACATGTCATATATAATATGGCATACAATTGTTTATTAAGATGATCTAAAGATTTTTGGGGAGTATTTTTCTATTTTTAAAATTTACACAATACGGACTTTAGATGTACATGTATTTTGATTTATACGACATGATTTTTATTTCAGGTACTCACCTGTTCGCGACTTCCGGTTTGTCAGATTCCGTGATAGGGATCATTATGCTCCTGGCCTCTCTCGCACTTCTCTGTTTATGTTTGTTTGGAATTGTCAAGTTACTGAACTCTCTTCTTCAAGGAAACATTCGAAAAGTTATCAAAAAATTCGTTAATTACGAATTCCCTGGAAAAGCAGCATATTTTACAGGTTACGTTGCTATTGTAGTCGGAATGGGCTTTACTATTTTAGTCCAATCCAGTTCCATTTTTACCTCGACCTTGACCCCTCTCGTCGGGGTTGGAGTTGTCAGTATAAAAAGGATGTATCCTTTATGCCTTGGTTCTAACATCGGTACCACAACTACTGGAATTCTTGCAGCTCTAACAACCGACACTGTAGGTGGAACAAAGCGACTTCAAAACGCTCTTCGAGTTGCCATGTGTCATCTTTTCTTCAACCTATCTGGTATCTGTATCTGGTATCCCTTTCCTCTCATGAGGTTTCCAATCCCTCTTGCAAAATTTTTAGGCAACACAACAGCGAAGTATCGCTGGTTTGCACTGTTTTACCTCGTCATGGCATTTTTCTTTCTACCTTTGGCAATCTTTGGATTATCTCAGGGAGGATGGGAGGTTCTTGCAGGGGTCGGTATTCCTTTAATTTGCTTACTTTTCATCATAGGGATAATGAAAATATTACAGAGAAAAAGACCCAATTGGTTACCTGCAAAGCTTCGAAACTGGAAGTTTTTGCCTATATACTTTCGTTCTCTACAACCTCTAGACAGACTATTAAACCACTTGTTTGGATTCTGTAAAATATGTCATCATCATCACCATGACCACCACCACCATCCTCATCATCTCCATGATGAAAACACACCAAGAAAAAAGGAGGACCAAACGATTATTTAGTGTACAATATGTCGCAATTTAAGTAAATTAATTGTAATACATGCTCTAATGCTGTGTGATAATCTTTACATTTATTTTCAAATCTAGCTCACTCCCTTGCTACCATTACAAAAACCTCGCTAATAGTGCTGTGCAGATAGGTATTTTTTCACTTTAGAAAAAGTAAAAGTTAATGAATCATAGTAAGCAATGTCTGGATATTTTTAGTCTTCTATTTTAAAAATGTTGTTGATGGCTCCATGTCTTCCAAATCACACCTTATAGAAACTTGTTTTTCTGATTGAATGATTCTTTACAAGCAAGAAAGGGGATGTCTTACGGTCATTGCAAAACATTATATCATATTAATGCTGTTGACAACAAAGATTTTAACAATTCCAGCTCATTAACGACAAAGTGCAGACGTTTCTAGTGCAATAACAGTGTCATTTACATGTAATAAAACAGAGATTACTCACAAAAGTACATTTAACAATACAAATTATAAAAGCAGAGCCAACTCTGAAAACAGAGGTGGGATCAGGTGCCATGGAGAATTACGTAGTCCCTGTCGACTGGTCACATGTGCCGAGTGCTTCATGTCAAGGTGGGAGAAAAGAACTTAGATTTATTCAGTGTAAAAATAATGACCCAAAACTTTTATGTAAGTCTTCGGACAACATTGACTTAAAAAAATTGTCTTTGAGACGTTAATCTAACAACATTCCTCATAAACGTGATGACTTTAACATTTCAATAGTCAACTTCACTTACTTAGGCAGTAATATACATATATCTCTCAGTTGATTCGATACGCAAGAGCATGCTATATTTATTTCTAAAACGAGGTAAGTTATTGGCAAACAAATTCATGAAACAATGTATCAGCAGTCTCGTTTAAAACCATCATCTCGAAAGTTGTATGGTTGATACAATGACCTCGTCGGCAAATACAATTTATCATTAAATCCAATGCAGACGTTTTCATACTAATTGTTAGGCCATTATGTATACACTGAATTGTCGACGGATATTTCCCTTATTTCCTGATCATTACAAGGAGCATACGGCGTGTGTGACCGATCGGCAGGGGATGCTCACTCTTCCATGACACCTGATCCACCTCTTTTTTTAGAGGTCTGTGTTTGCCCTGCTTCGAAATTTGTATTGTTTGATGGACTTTTGAACATGAATATTGTTTGCTATCTTCATTTACGTGTGATTTTTGGTGCAAGTAGATTTACATTCGATAGTTTTCTTTCGTACTAAAGCGTTTACATCAAAACACCTAACAGCAGATTACTCTACCTCAGTTATAGAACAATAAATCATATCGTAGGTCAAAGAAATTAAAGTTTGAATTTTTATTCAGAATGTATTATTTTTTTCTTCTAAATTTTAACATACTGAATGTTCTTTAATATTTATTCAACCAGTCTTATTTTTCTATCTTCCCTGTTTAAAGCTGTGCTAGAGGATATTAGGACTTGTTAATTCGGTAGTATAACAACCCTGCAAGTATTTAGTACAGGCGGTCTAATCGATATTCAAAAGGTATACTAACAACAGGGTTAAATTTAAGTTAATATGAAAACATTCTACATATAATGTTTTTTCCTTTAAGAATTTTAATTCATTTAAATATTTGATTGCAATTGACTAATTCGAAGTTTGGGAAAAGAAAAAAAAAGACATTAATGCTTGAATAAACTTTTTTGTGGGTTATCGATTTCATCTATAATATACGGAAGCCCTGGAGGGACATTGACTTACTTGTTATGACTTATTTGTTATAACTTTTTTGTTTTGACTTATTTGTTGTGAATGTTTCGTAGCTAGTTATATCTAAAGTGTAAGAAAACTATTGAAAACCTGTTGCTTCGCTTAATTTTACGATAAAAATGACATTTAGTCCTATTTTAACTGTAGTTTTTGATTAACAAATTGTAGTTTAACGTCCAGTACAATTGACATTACTAAAGTAAATATTATTTTTGTTGTTATGACTTAATTCTTATTTTCTAAAAGTTATTACTTAATTCTTATATGTAACTTCCAGTTTGCATAATGATTGAAGACAAGAACATGACTACTATTTTCTCTTGTCGTTAGTAATAAATTCAAGGACATTTTTTTCTTCTTTCTGAAAATATACATTGCCTCCATCTTTCACGCCACTTTTTGTAAACTAAACTTGTCATAAAAAATTCAAAATAACAAGAATTCAAAGTTAAGTCATAAGAACTAAGTCAAAACACATAAGAAATAAGTCAAAACACATAAGAACTAAGTCAAAACACATAAGAAATAAGTCAATATCCCTCAAGGGCGTCCGTAATTAACAGATAAAAATTTAGTTATTATCAGTTTTGTAGGTTTAACTACAAAACTACAATTAATCGTTCTTAGTAGCTTACCTACACTTAGTTTGAACTAACAAAAAAAAAATCTCAAAACAAATAAGTCAAAACAAATAAGTTATAACAAATAATTTATAACAAATAAGTCAATGTCCCTCCAGGGCTTCCGTAATAATAAGTTAAAAAAGGAAAGCAAATTTTTTTTTTTTAATTTTTGGTTGTTCTGTAAATCATAAACGGGTATGCAAAGACCAGATGCTCTGTAATCATGTTATTGATGTTAAAGTAATAAATTATTACATACTTATCAGCCTTTTTTCTTCTTTGCACAATCAGTTTCTAGTATTTGAAACTAATTATCTATGGGTAGACAGTAAAAAGAAATGTATATATCTACATGATTTAATGCAGGGATACTGAGACAACGATTTGACACCACTCTACTTTTTTTAGGACTTTCATTTTAGCTGAGCACCTACCACAAATACCTGTCTTAATAAAGTATATAAATATATGAAGAAAAATGAAAGACAAGTTGTTCATCTGTATGTTAAGGTACATTTGAAATGCATATCACTATATTAGCAAGGGAATTATATTTATTTCACACTTTCTGTGCAAATAAATGCGTGAAAATACATTCTGACTACAATTATCACACAATTAGTTTTCTACATTATACAGTTATTGACTGGGTATGAGGGCAACATTTGATTTGTTGGACCTGAAGGTGAAAATGTTGCCCGAGGTCGCAGGCAAAGGGCAACATTTTCACCTTCAGGTCCAACAAATCATATGTTGCCCGAATCCCAGTCTATAACTGTTTTGTTATACCCTTTACTGCTCACTTAAGATTGATCAATTTAATCAATACACGCTATATTATCAATTATTTTATATGGAAAATTATGGCTTCTTCAGTAAATATAAAACATCAAGCTGAGAAAGAACAAAATCAATTATATATCTATTGTATCACAAAAATTATTTATCACAAAACATACTCTTCCCTTCTTCCTTACCTTGCTGTTAGCAACAACTCTGATAGCTCTTAACTTCGGCTATTTTCGCGTCGCCGATATTGAACGATGATTAATTACTTGTGACGTAACAGACGAGTGACGTTGCGGTCTAACAATTCTTATGTAAGACCGGTCAATAGTGATATTGTTAGACCGATGTAATAAATAGTTCTTTTGTTGGACTTTTTATAAGTAATAAATATACAGAATGATATTTTTAAGGGAATAACAAAAAATATTCAAAATAAATAAAATCTCATATGTGTAGTTGTAGTATTCACTATGAAATATTGGTATTTACCACTGAGTAAAAACTTGTTGGGCTAACAAAATGTTATTTTAGTAAAAATGATTATGCAGTTCCTTATTCTATCAATACTCTTCAAACATTGGAGATTTTATTAGATTACTGTTGGAGACAACAGAACTACAGCTACTGTCGCTCTGTTTGCTTACATAGTGAGTGAACGAGGATAGGGTTCGCTAAAAACAATTTAACATTAAGATAGCTATCGTTAATAAGAGAGAAAAACATATTATCCACCATGAAATATGTATTATGGAATCATATGCATGACTAAAACAGCCTGTTGATATCGGACAATTGCTCTGAGGAAATCGTTTTGTCAAGCAAACTCTGTTGACCCCGATCGTTACATGTATAATTTTTTTTACTTGCTCGAAGTGTAGAAATATCCTAGTATATTATCAGTTTTTAGTAATTTTATTTTCGCTGATAAAACACACAGAGATGAGGGACTTGGTCCTAAGTCAATAAACATAGGTAATCGGAGATTACAGAGCTCACCTCAACGAATGTTGTCTTTAAGTAAGGCAAAGTCACACAATTAACCAACAAAAAGTGTACATCCAAAAATGCAAAATTTATGCAATTTTGATTTGATACTTTGGAATAGACCTATATAAAAACTTCAAACTAGTTCTCCATCATGAAAACGTAATTAAAATCCAGCATCTGAAGCAAGTTTGAGAGTTTTCATCCCTTGATGCATCATTTGTGCAAGTTTGGTTTATATAATCCTTATAGTTTCTTGGTAATAAAAATAACTTTTACGAGGTCCATTATCTGGAAAATGTATGTCGAATTCAGCATCTGAAGCAAGTCAATTAGTGTGCATCCTAAATGTATCATCCATGCAAGTTTGCTCAACATATATCTCAAAGTTACTTGGAAATGAATTTGTATAAAAAAAATTTTTTCACTTGTGTATATATAGCATCTGAAGCCAGCTTGGTAGAATGCACCTAGATGTACCATCCATGCAAGTTTGGTCATTATAGGGCTCAAAGTTACTTGGAAATGAATCCTGCACCAAAAACTTTAACCTGTTCATTCGTCCAGAAAATGTAGGTCAGATTCAGCATCCGAAGCAAGTCTGGTTTTGTCAACATCCATGCAAGTTTGGTCATTATAGGGGACATAGTAACTTGGAAATGAAACCTGCACCAAAAAGTTTAACCTGTTCACTCAACCGGAAAATGTAGGTAAGATTCAGCATCCGAAGCAAGTCTGGTAGTATGCATCCTTAGACGTATCATTCATGCAAGTCTGAAATATGTCATAGTTACCTTGAAATAAACCTGCACCAAAAACATAAACCTGTTCACTCATGCGGAAAATGTACATTTCAGCATCCGAAAGCCTGGTAGTGTGCTCTGAGATGTACCAATGCAAGTTTGGTCAACATAAGGCTTATAGTTACTCGGAAATGAGACCTACACCAAAAACTGCACCAAAAATGTTAACCTGCTCCAAAAACATTAACCTGGTTATTCCTTTGCTGAAATTGCAGCATCTGAAACTTTGACTGGTACAATGAAACACACTAGAAACATCTTCCATGCATGTCTAATCAATATAGGACATTTGATTACTTAAAAAGAAAACTGCTCCAAAAAACTTAACCTTAACCTGGGACGCCGACACCGACGCCGAGGGTATTACATAAGCTCCCCCAACTTCGTTGAGGTGAGCTAAAAATCACTGTTGTTAATATGAAAAATAATG